TTTTTTAAAAAACAGTAATGATAGCAAATAGTTCTGAACTAGTGAATCAGATCTCTAGATGGAGAGATGAGGAAGCACTTAAAAATTGCTTTTAATTGGGAACACTTCTTTTTTTTCCTTTGCATTTCAATTTGGGAATTTTCAGATTTTAAATATATTTTATTGATTATGCCATTTACAGTTGTCCCATATTCCCCTCTGCCTGCACCCCCCCACCTGCATCCCCCCCACCTTATTCATACATATAAGTTCTTTGGCTTCTCCATTTCCCATACTCTCTTAACCTCCCCCGTCTATTTTGTATCTATCATTTCTGCTACTTATTCTCTGTACCTTTCCCCCCTCTCTTGCCCTCTCACTCCCCCACTGATAACCCTCTGTATGATCTCCATTTCTGTGATTTTGTTCCTGTTCTAGTTCTTTGCTTAGTTTCTTTTTGTTTTTGTGTTTTTAGGTTCAGTTGTTGATAGTTGTGAGCTTGTTGTCATTTTACTGTTCATAGTTTTTATCTTCTTTTTCTTAGATAAGTCCCTTTATCATTTCTCATATAATAAGGGCTTGGTGATGACACTTCTTTTTTTTTCCTTGAAGAGCACACTTCCAAGGTAAACCACCAGTATTATTACTATATTTTTCTGTGCTTGCCAAGCCTTTCAAACTGCCAGGAAAGAGTTCGACACAATTTGGGGTGGAGCTTGGGCTTGGCCAAGTGCCAGCTGCTGGCTGACCGCCCCTTCCTGCCTGTTCAGATGAAGTGGGCATTTGCGTCTCACTGGTGTTCCTCATCTGAGACTTGCTCCCTTCGGTGTTCCCGTCATCCTCTCCCAGACCTTGCAAGTAGCATGGAAATCTCCAAGCTGCTTCTGGTTCCCCAGTGCGGTTGCTCACCTGCCGGCTCCGGGTTCTGGGCTCCGCAGCTCGGCTGCTCCTGATGTTGCTGGAAGCGGGATAAGCGCTGGGAGCAGGGTAAGTGCTGAGAGCAGGATGGGCGCTTGGGAGCTAGAGCTGCCCCGCCTTCGCACAGTGATGCTGGGATTGGGATTGGGGGCAGGAGCGCCGCCTTCCTCTCCAGCGTGCTCGCTCGCTGGCTCGCTTGCTCGTGCCCGCCCTTCTCCCCGCCCCAAGCCCTCTCCTGCCTCAGCCGAGCAACTCCGCAGTGCAGATGCCCGCTGGCCGCCCGCGCTCGGCGCTTCCAGCTCCGGAGGGGACTTGCAGGTCCCCTCGACTCCCAAGTGCTGGCCGCAGTCTCCTTGTTCCCAAGCGACCCTCGACTGAGCTGACTCTCAGAGGCCCCCTGGGAAGCCTCTTCACCGGTGGGACAGGGAGTATCTGGGTGGACGGTGGCTGCACCGGAGCCCGGGCGCTCCCGGATGCGGCAGGAGAAACTAACCGGCTCGCTGAGGCGCGGCGGGAGATGCCTGAAGCGGCAGGGTGGCGGCGGAGGCAGCAGCGGTAGCGGCGGCGGCGTGGGCACCATCCTTAGCAATGTGCTCAAGAAGCGCAGCTGTATTTCCCGGACCGCTCCCCGGCTGCTCTGCACTCTGGAGCCGGGTGAGGACCGGGAGCTGCAGACCGGGCGCTGGAAAGTAGTGCGGCGCCCCGGGAGTGGGGCTGCTCCCACCTCTGCCTCGGCTGTACTGCACCTAGGCCGGCGAGCGTGCTCGGCCGCTGGGTGCTGGGTACCGAGGTTTGGCGCGGGTGGGGCTGGGTCAGCCTGGGAGGGCCGATCGCAGACGAGGGCCTGGGCGGAGGCAGCGGCCTCCCCAGGCACGGAGGACCCGCAGCTCCGCTGCCTGCCAGCGGGTCCCCAACCCCGCGGCCTGTGCATAGTCCAGCCCTGCTTGTGCCTGGAGCTGGGAAAGTGCTGGTGCCGGGGCCATCAGAGGCTGCGTAACCAATTGTGCACCAGGCTCACAAGAAGCCAGACCTTGAAAGAGGTGTGCGAGGCAGAGAAAGGCACAGGTTTGATACTTTGGGTCTGAGAGGAAGGCAGTGGCTGCAATGGAAAAATCGGGTGCATTTTGCTGAGGGTTCTCTTTGGTGAGTGGCGGGTCCACTCGCCTGGAGCCTCTAATATGTGTCCTAGTGTGGAGCTGGCCGGAAACAGTTCCGCAGCCTTGAGATCCTTTCTTACATATGAAGTCCCGGAGCGCACCTGGCCATGCTGGGCAAGGCCCTTTTTTTTCTCTCAGCCCGTGTTTACACGTCCCTGCTTCTCTAGGCTACATAACTCTGCGTCTTCTCCACCCTCTGGCATCCCTCCCCGGGGTTTTATGAGCCCGGCCCTGGCGCGGTAGCCTGGGCGCAGAGGGAGCCAGCCGTACTCGCACCGGCGCTTAGCGCTCACCTGTTCCCTGAGTGGCACTAGCTGGGTGCCAGGCGAGTTCGACCTCCCTCACCCCCAGTCTCCCAGCACCTCCGGGGACCTGCGGTCCTGAGGCTGCCGGCAGCCGACCCCTAAAGGGCGGAACGCGTGGCTGCCTTTTCGAACCTCGTGGTTCCTTTGTTTTTCTCCTCAAGGAAGTGTCTACTTAAAGAGACTGTAGTATTTATTCACCGTCTTACTTTACCCTTAAAAAAAAATCTCCTTTGCACGTTAAAAGTGTTTTGTATTTCTGAACCCAGAACAGCCGTGATCATCAGATGAAACATAAACCTCCTCCCCGCCCTTATCCAGTTCGCGGGAGAGGTGAAAATGACCTGATTTCAGCTTTTGCATACAGGCGGCGAATGATCAATCCCAGTTTAGTCCTGTGACTCATTTTTGATCATGAGAAAATAGTTGTGGTTTTGACGAACCAATCCAGCTGGGTTTCAGCGCTGCAAGGCAATCGGCAGGACTCCTGGCAGGGGCTGTGAGAACAACACGGGATCACATTCGGTATCACATACAGGGAGTTCGGGGTTTTTAGGTCGGTAGAAATAATTCAGTGCAGAGCCGAATTTCCTGGTCTTTGTTAGAATGATGCAAATGTCGGGACTGCGCGCACCTGCGTTCAGCACCCGGGGTCTGGACAGCGACCTCAGCCGGGTTTGTCTCGTTGCGCCTTCCACCCTGCGCTCCAGCCGGAGGCGCTCTTGTGCCCATTGTGCCCTGGCTCAGCACTGAGGCCGCGGCTTGCTTTAGACCAGCTCAGAGAGATGAGAGAATACGTGGGGATACTTAGTACCTATTCAGGAAGACAGTGTTATCTGTCTAGGCAGAGTATGGTTTTGAGCCTGGAGCTTTGAAAATAAATATCTTGGTAGTCTCTACCACAGCCTGACTTGAGAAATTTAGAACCAACTCACGTACTCACAGCACTCTTCCGAGACTCCGAGAAGGGCATCGGCATACTCTCAAGGGCTTGGGCAAGTCAGACACCTCTCCAGCTTCTGGACTCTGTGTGTGTTTTTAAACAGACAAGTTCACTTTATTATTGTAATTTTGCAAACTTTGAAGATTGTACCTATCCAGGTACCAGCCCTAAGTAGTCATGAAGAGGTTTTCAATATGCCTACTATGCAATCAACATCTTAGAAGTAAAAATGTCATTGTAAATGACAGTTACAAATAGTAAAACCGAATGGTATTGCTAATATTTGGTATATCTTGATCCTTAAATTTAATATAATACATCTTAAAAAGTGACTTAAAATGTAATTTCATTGATTTTGTAATTGCAAGAAAAGAATATATAGCATTTTTAGATTTGATTGTATTATTTTAAAACCAGAATTTAAGTGGAAATAAAATTGTATTTAATTTCACCTCAATAACAACAGAATATCTAATATGGAATTCTGAACAAAAGCCCAATATAAATATTAAGCATATAGTCTTTTTGTAGTCTCCTGTTTATTTGCTTCTATAGATTTGGGATTTGAAACAAAGAACTTTATGTAAAGTTTTAGATAACTTAGCATTAGAATTCAGTTAATTTTTAGCTTGTAGTTTATAATTAAACATACAGACTTTTTTAAAAAACATTTTATTTATTTATCTTTAGAGAGGAAGGGAAGGAGAGAAGGAGAGAAACATCAATGTGTGGTTGCCCGTCATGAGTCCCCTGCTGGGAACTGGCCTGCAACCCAGGCATGTGCCCTGATTGGGAATCGAACCGCAATCATGTGGTTTGCAGGCCCGCGCTCAATCCACTGAGCTATGCCAGCCAGGGCAAACATACAGACTTTTATCTCCAATAACTAAGCCCATCAAAACAGAATTTAAAAACATATGAAAATCTCCAGGTAGAATCATTAAGGATTCCGTAAGTGGGAAGGCAATGACACCATTTTTATAACTTTTTTTTTTTCAATGTATGGTTGCCTCTCATGCGTCCCCTGCTGGGAACTGGCTTGCAACCCAGGCATGTGCCCTGGCTGGGAATTGAACCGAGATCCTTTGGTATGCAGGCCTGTGCTCAATCCACTGAGCTACACCAGCCAGGGCTATTTTTATAACTTTTGACATGCCACTGAAATTTCCCTAATAGCCTTAATCCACTCAAGTGTCTTAGAAAATAAAAATAAGTTCTGTAAGTAGAGAATTCTCTTCCTAAGGTTCATGAATATTAATTGTACAATGGTATGTGATTTACACTTAATCATCACAACTGTCTACTGAGATAGACTTTATTATGCTAGTCTTAAAGATAAAGAATGGAGACCGAGACATGTTAAGTCATTTGACTCCAGGAACCAACGTTAAATGGAGGTTTCTATGACTCCAAGCCTGTGAGGATTGGGTTTTTCTTTTTCTTTTTCTTTTTTTGGTTGGCACTATTGCAGACAGCTGTGGAAACTACTATCTTTCATCAAAAGCTCCATTCTGTTGCCATAAGATATTTTTCTATTTTAGTAACTAGTATTCTTTTTCTTTAATAAAATTAACTAAAATTTAGTAAAAGTAAATGTTTTAAAAATTTCATTATGATTCAGTAGAATCAGGTTAATGTTTACTTTTATTTTTGATATAGTTTATTTTCTCCCCAAATAACAGTTATGTGTTTTTGTTTTAGGAGTTGACACAAAGTTGAAGTTCACTCTTGAGCCATCTTTAGGTCAAAATGGTTTTCAGCAGGTAACTTTGTTTTTGGTTTCAGTAACACTCTTATTTCTGGGTATCTACAGGATATATACTGAGATATATTCTCTTAAGTACCACACGCTAACCAACTGCACCACCGGAGCTCCCGGAAATATATTCTCAAAGTGGAGAAACTTTGATAAGCATAAGAAAACAAGTCAGTTTTTAAAATGTAGATAAAATAGCCTATGAAACTACAAGTGGCTTGAGTTTATGCTTCCTATTTTGTACTTTCTTTTTTTAAAAAAATTTTATTTACTTATTTTTAGAGAGAGGGGGGAGGGGAAGGAGAAAGAGAGGGAGGAAGACATCAGTGTGTGGTTGCTTCATGCTCATCCCCTACTGGGGACCTGGCCAGCAACCCAGGCATGTACCCTGGCTGGGAATTGAACCGTAACTCTTTGGTTTCTATTCCAGTGCTCAATCCACTGAGCCACACCAGCCAGGGCCATTTTGTACTTTCTATTAATATTGTAAGTATGAAGAAAATTCCCATGAAAATTTTTGTATTTTTTATTAATGTTGTAAGTGTGAAAAAAAATTTCTAAAACCAAACATCTATTATTCTAAGTCCATAATACATGTTTTGGTTTCTGAACCAGTGCTTCCCAATTACTGAGTATACTGCAGAGGGATCACAGGTGTGTTAACTGTGGCCCAGGTGGGGCTTGGGGCAGTCATGGTCCTCAGACCAGTCACATCTGGCTGAAAGAAGCTTTGATTGCTACCCCAGTGTGCTGTACCAGCTTTACACTATACAGATGTCAAGATGGAAAAAAGGTTGAAGGGCCTGCACAGGTCAATGTATCACTCTGCCAGTCTTTCTTCTTTGTTCCTAGTGGTACGATGCTCTCAAGGCGGTTGCCAGACTGTCAACAGGAATCCCAAAGGAATGGAGGAGGAAGGTAAGGAGGGTTCATAGGGCTAAAATACAAAAGGACCATCACTCTGTCCCTCTTTAAAGTCTCTGGAGTGTCAGAAATGATATTCTAGAATTAATAATTTGAAACATGTCTCTTTTCATCATATTTCATTAAATAAGTATTTATTGATTATCTATTCTGTGCCAGGTACTGTCTTAGGTACTGAGGATACAGCAGTGGGAAAAAAAAAACCCAGACCAAAATGTTTGTCCTTCTGCAGCCTCTACAATGAATAACGTATCAGATATGTCAGATGGTAATAAGTACCATGGATAAAAATAAAGCAGAGAAATAAATGAAAGTGTGGGGAAATGGGGATATGGAGGTGGAATTTTAAATAGCAAAGTGACATTTCAGTAGGCCCTTGCAGGAGGTGAGCAGTGGGCCCTGCAGCTGCCCTGGGGGAAGAGTACTCCAGAGAGCACTCAGGTGGGAGCGTCTCAGGAGTACGCAAGCAGAAGCAAGAGGATGGGGTGGCTGCAGCATGGTGAAAAAGAAGAAGGCAGTGGGAGAGAGGGTCATAGAGGTAATGCGATGATTGGGTTAGGAGGATGGCAGATCATAGGTCACAGTAGGACTTTGCCTAGTGTGAGAAGCATTGGGTAGTTTTGAGCAGGGGAGTTCAATGATACAGCTTATATTTTATTTTATTTATTTATTTGTATTTTATTTATTTTTAGAGAGAGGGGAAGGGAGGGAGAAAGAGAGGGAGAAACATTAATGTGTAGTTGCCTCTCACATGGTTCCCACTGGGGACCTGGCCTGCAACCCAGGCATGTGCCCTGATTGGGAATCAAACTAGCAACCCTTTGGTTCACAGCCTGTGCTCAATCCACTGAGCTATGCCAGCCAGGGTGATACAGCTTATATTTTAAATGGACCACTTTGGCTACTAACTGGGGAATATGAGGGACAAGGACAGAAGTGGGTGACCAGTAGAAGGCTTGCAATAATTTAGGCGAGAGATGGATCAGGGTTGTGGTAGTGGAGATGGAGAGAAGGGGTTATATGCCAGATACATTTTCAAGGCTGAGTTGGCATGAGTTCCTATTGGATTGAATATGAGGTAACAGGGATGTCTACAGTGACTTCACAATTTTGACCTGAGCTACTGGAAGGGAACAGTTACTATTTACTCAGATGGGAGGAGCAGTTGTATATGTTTGTATGTATGTATGTGTAGTTAACTTGGTGGCGGATTAAACGATTGGCTTGGGTCTGTTAAGGTTGAGATGTCTATTAGATACCTAAGTTGAAGGTGTCAAGTGGGCATTTGGACTTATGATTCTGATGCTTAGGAGAGAAGTCCCACTGGAGATGTGGATCAGTGATATTCCTGCTAAATGAGGCTCAAATACCAAAACTTGAAGTGCTCTCATTATATCAATTTATAAACCTAGTCTAATACTCCTAGAATTTGAACATTGGGGGGTCCTCAAAATATATGTTAAAAATGGCATTATGAAATACATCTAGAAGAAACAGCTTTTTAGGATAAGATAATGAAAGGAGTAAAAATACACAGTGACTCTTTTTAAGAAGTTATTCATTATGGGAACTCATTTGTCTTTTGTGTGTGTGTGAGAGGGATGAGACCGCTTCTTGGTGAGAACAGGCCCTTTCTCTGTGAATGACCAGGTGGCTATTGCCCAAGTACAGACAGCAATTCAGAGCCAAGTAGAACATGCTCAACACATAACACAGCAAATTCAATGAACTGAAACAAAATTTAAAAAATTTTAACAGTATCCCTAATATCAGGATCATTGCTTGGTATATAGTGGGAACTCAGTAACTATTACTTGAAAGAACATGTGAAAGGCCCTAAGTGGTTTAATTCAGTACAGTATACACTTCAACGAGATTCTTCTGGATTTCTGCATGTGAGCTAGGAACAGTTCCCATTTTCTTTTCTTTTTAAGATTTTATTTATTTATTTTTAGAGAGAGGAGTAGGGAAGGAGAAAGAGAGGGAGAGAAACATCAGTGTGTGGTTGCCTCTTGTGTGCCCCCCACTGGACACCTGGCCTGCAACCCAGGCATGTGCCCTGACTGGGAATCAAACCAGTGACCCTTTGGTTCACAGCCCACACTGAACCCTTTGAGCTGCACCAGCCAGGGCATGTTCCCATTTTTTTGTTGGATGCAATAACCATTTCTAATAAAGGTTAAATTATATATTTTACTTTAACATTCTTTATTACTATTTTAGGTTTGGTTGACCTTGGCAGATCATTATTTGCACAGTATAGCCATTGATTGGGACAAAACGATGCGCTTTACTTTCAATGAAAGGAGTAATCCTGATGATGACTCAATGGGAATTCAGATAGTCAAGGTAATGCCCCTGACCTTGGCCTATTGTCCTAACTTAGAAGGAAGATTCTAAGAGCCAGATGTTTCCTGGGTCAAGCCTTGTGGTCTGAATATCTGTATATTTTTTGCTTCTTCATTTCATTAATAATAGCTTTTTAATGGGGGAACTTTGACTATACCTTGTCTTCAGAAATTTGTATGTTGCTAGTAGAAATAAAGTGTTTCCATTCATAGTCATCTTATTTGTCTTGCTCGTATGATAGGCAATTGAAATTCTTTTTTTTTTCCAGCATTGGTCAGTGCTGTTAACTGTATTTTTATATAAGAGTCACTGAGAAACTTAAAGTTGAGGATATTCCACATTAGAATAGTTGGACTCTTATTAGGGTCTTTGATAATTTCTTAACTGTCAATTTATTAATATAATTGGATTGACTGGTAGGTCAAGGGTTCAAGCCAGCTGTGGAGGCAGCCGTGGTTTGCTTATCTGGATTATTACAGTTCATTACCACCTGGTGCCCAAAGCCAAGGATGCTGATTCCATTTAATCTCACTATTATTCTCTTGCATAAGCCTCTAGTACATGGTTTTTGATTTCATGAGTATATTACAGTGACTTTAAGCTGAGGTTTTAAAAGGAAGCCTGCTTCATCTAAATTTTAGCCATCACAAGATGCTAATGTTTTGGCAGTTTTGCAGATTTTTTTTTTCAGGAGGAAGTGCTAACTAAAAGGAGCTAATTTCTGATCTAACTTGGTCTGTTTCAGACAAATGATAAAATATTATGGGATTTATATTGTACGCTTAAAAAGTCTTGGCATTTTTATAGTTTAGCTGCTCATTTGGAATGGCAGAATGCATTTCTCAGAGATGAAATATTGCATGGTTGAAGTATTTTTGTTTAAATTGTAAATTAAGACAATGCACATTTTATAACAATCATGTTATTAAGAGGACCTTTTACTTATTATTGATGTGAATACTATGTCAGGAAAATGTCTTCATCATCTGAAGATCACAGTCTCTGTTTGGTAATACAGTTATAGATATTGCCCTGACTATTAAATTTTTGTCTGTTTTATACAAATTTATAAAACATTTTGGACAGAATAGCTTTTCTGTTTTGGACAGAATGACTTTTCTCTCTACAATACAGGTTGCATTTTTTGCTATTTTGATTTTGCTCCTTAATACTATTGTGAGTTTGGGTAGCTAAATAAACACTATACCATTTTTTGTAGAAAGAAATATTGTTGGCACCTATCATACATGTGTTGAAATGACTTGTTTTATCTGAGACATATTATTAAAATAAACTGTCAATTTATACGGAATTATAGTGTAATTTTTATTAATTCGGAGTCCCTGTTTGTGTTAATTCTGGAAATACTTTAAGTAGGAAATTTGCCTGACTGTAATTTTTCTTGAAAATGTCTTGGAATACTAGAAAAAAAATTAGGAAAAAGAAAATAGAAAAATAATTGATCTGGGCCACGCGTGTCAGTTGCACATACATTTTAAAAAACTACAATCCATACTGATAATCTACTTAAGGGCCAGGAAAGAAATAGCCACAGTTTTCTTCTGAGAGAGAGCGCAAGGACTCATTTTTTAAAATACTGTTTCCCTCTCATTGCAGGACCTTCACCGCACAGGCTGCAGCTCGTACTGTGGCCAGGAGGCCGAGCGGGACAGGGTTGTGCTGAAGCGGGTCCTGCTGGCCTACGCGCGATGGAACAAGAACGTCGGGTACTGCCAAGGCTTCAACATCCTGGCCGCACTAATTCTGGAAGTGGTGGAGGGCAACGAAGGGGATGCTCTGAAAGTAAGTGTCAGGCTCTGAGGGAGGCGACTGAAATTCTTTAGAGAGGGAAGTATTGGAACTACGATCTCTCTTCCCTGATGCCCACTGCCTCCCAAGGTGCTGGCCTCACCTTGGTGATTACCCGTGACACCATGTCCCCCAGGTTACAACCAGGGTGGCTTCCAGATGTGAAGAGAATGAGGATGTTTGTAGCTTCACTTGTAAGACATTATGATTTTAAAGCAAGTTAAATATTAATTCTGTTCATTACTTACTGTTGCATAACAAATTAGCTGCTTAAAACAGAAAAATATGTGTTACCTCACAGTTCCTTTGAGTCAGGAGTCCGGGCCCAGCTCAGCTGGCTCAGAGTCACATTACGGTGGCATTCAAACTGTTGGTGGGGGCTGTGGTCTCATCTGCAAGCTTGACTGATTGGGGACATTCATTTCTAATTTCAGTCATTTGGCTGTTGGCAAGACTTAATTCCTCACAGGTCCTCGGACTGAGGGCCTCAGTTCCTTGCTGGCTGTTGTCAGAGGCTGTTTAGTTCCTTGCCATGTGGGGCTTTCCATCGCACAGCATTGCGGTTGGTCTCCATCAGTGAGCAAGGGAATCAAAGAGAGTGAGCAAGGCAGGAGGGATGAAATTACAGATTTGTAACCCAATATCAGTCACATTTCATCATTTTTGACATATTCTATTTGTCAGGAGCCAGACACTAGGTCCAGCTGGCACTCAAGGGGAAGGGCTCATACAAGGCTGTGGCTGTCAGAAGGTGGGGATCACTCGGGTCGTGTCAGAAGCTACCTCCTCCACCAGATGTGCTTAATTCTGGTTGGGTCTTATTAGGTTGCTTTATTCTTTCATAGCTGGGGTGAGGGTTGGAGGAGGTAGGCTGAGAGTGAATGTCTATGATGAAAACTGTTTGCTTGGAGAAATTTTGTAGAAGTGAGTTATATTTATTATCTTTTAATCTTTGATACTTAGGGCCTTTATTAGTAAGAAAAAATTCTGGAGTCACTTTCAGGGGGGACACCAGTTTAGGGATACAGGTCTGAATGTGATTCACCCAGTTACCAGAAATGGGCTTTAGGGGGAATGAAGCATTTCACGAGGAGGACGGCCTCTGCTTTGTTTGCTCAGCGCCATATGGGGCTGCTCAGTCATGTCTGAATCCTCAGACTGCTGTTGACTGCAGTGCTTGGTGGTGGATAGAATGGCTACTTGGTCTTTGAATTCAAGTACGCCTCCTCCTGCGCCCCACCTCCCCATTCTTTTCTGACTGTGGCGAACACCTTAGTGATATTCTCAGTCACTGACTAATGTGATATGGAAAAATAAGGGAAATGTTCCTTCTGGTTCTGTACACATCATGGTGGGAATAATTATAAATCCAGCCTGACATGGTCTACATCTGTATTCAGCCTCTCACTTTTTCCATTCGTGTATTTAAGGAAACAGCTTCAAAGCTACTTGTTCGTCAGACAGGCAGGGGTTGAGGAGGGGGGCAGTGACCAATCAAATACATGACGAAACACATTTTCCATTAAGGAGCAATTTTGTTTTTGTAGTCTATCAGCTTTGGTCACTTTTTCCAGATATAATTTGTATGACTTTAAAATGGGGAGTGTTCTGTGGAAAAGCTGGAATAAGTAATTCAGGTTAGTGCTGGGCGGGGAGGTTTGGGGAAGGGGACACAATGTCAGTCAGATCGTGAAAGGATTCGGTGATGCTTGAGACAACACTAACAAGTCCCATAAGAAGATGGATTAGATAAAACTGAGAAACTGAATATCTATATTTCTGCCTCTACAAAAGCAAACTTTGTGGGATGAGATGGTATTATCATCATTTAGGAATCTGGTTGGACATTTAATATGCAGAGGAAGGTGGGGTTTATGAAGAGGCACCTCTGATGCAAAGGAAAATATTGAGTGTTGGTGTTTTTCCAACAGTTGTTTTGGCCTCTGCGAGTCGTAGTGATTAGGGAAATATAAAGTTGATTAAATGTAGGTAAACCGTTTTCCTTGCTTCTTTGCACTTAGTAACTGGTTTTTCTTAGTAACTATTTTACTTAGATACTTATGGATTCCTTAGATAAGTATACCACCTGTTCTGATCCAGAGTGGAGGTGAGCCTTGAAAATCCAGAACATTTGGTACTGACACATTTAAAGGGCAGAGTGCTTTGGGCAACTACATTTTATCCATTTGAGTGTGTTCTTTCTATTTAGGGTATGTTAGGATGCCGTTTTTTATGGAGCAGTCTTGTTTATCTTTTTCTTCAGATTATGATTTACCTCATTGATAAGGTACTCCCTGAAAGCTATTTTGTCAACAATCTGTGGGCGTTGTCTGTGGACATGGCGGTCTTCAGAGACCTCTTGAGACTGAAGCTCCCTGAGTTATCTCAGCACCTGGATGCTCTTCAGAGAACTGCAAACAAGGAGAGTGGAGGTAGTGATGATTTAGTGCTGTCATACCCTGGAAAAGATTTTACTTCTCTGATTCCACTGTACGTGGGAGCCTAAACGGTGAATGGAAGCACTTCTTTTTGGGTATTTCTGTTGATGAGAGTTTGATGCAATGAAACAGATTTTTAGAGAACAGGAAGAAAACCACACACACACACACACACACACACACAAGCCACAACATTGGGCCACATGTCAAACCTTTAAATGGTCATAGTTAGGAAGCTGGTCAAGAACCTAACATTTTACCAGAGCCAGATCAACAATTAAAAAATAATGTATTGTTTTTTAGATGAAAAACCAGGCATTCTTTAAACTTGAGCTACAGGTACAGTTTAGTACGAACTGTGGTTTTTTTCATAAAACATTAGGGTTTTGGAAGAGTGGAATATGTATTTTCATAAAGTCGTAGGAGTTAATTTGGCTTGAAATGTTTAATGTTCCCTTTATTGATTCATACTAAGGGTATATAAATTTACTTGAGATGAGTGGGCCAGTTCTTACTGGAGAAGGTTCTCTTGGGTCCCCAGGGAGAATCTGGACCCTGAAGGAAGGCACAGGGTTGAGTAGGGTGGCGATGGAGATGTCTGTGCCACCGTCCTGGGAGTCACTGCCGTCCAGCGGGCCTCACCCGGCTTTCCCAGCTACCTGAACTAGCGCTGTGATTATACCCACTGGCTGTGCTCAGGATACCATAAAGGACGGTCAGAAGTGTGTGGTGTTTCCTGTAGATGGTTGACAGTTAATGGCCACACATTTAAATCTAGGAAAATCTTAAATGATTTTGAGGACCTATCCTGTGATTAAAATTACATGGGAAATTTTAGTGCCACCTGGGCATCTCTAAGCATTTCCTTCTAAATCATTTGAATAATCTTCTTGTTTAATTTGGCTGTGCAGTGCAAGCATGCACCTGTGTGGATTTCATAAGGCTTCCAGATAGACCAACCTTGCCTATTTCGTAATCAGGCACGATTTACGGGGGAGTCCATGCATTTGCCTGGAAGGGGTGACCTCAGATTTTAGTCTCTGAAAAAAGATACTCCCTCTGTTCATAGGTAAGAAGGAAGAAAACAAATATGCAAGAGAACAGATCCCTTTTTGCTTATACTTGGGTAGATGCACACTCTGACTGTAATTTGAAGGGAGGATCAGTCCAAATATTTAAATTTTATTTCATTAAAATACATAATTTTGCCATCACAGGACATGAAAGGGAGCCTCGTGTTTTTCAGTGAATGCAGAAAGTTCAAAGTGAGCCAGACCCCAGATATTTAAAACTGTGTATGGTTTAGTTCAACATACTTTAAAATTTCATGTGGCTTAATCTCTAGCTATTTGGGGTTTTTCCAGCTATCTTTCTGTAATTGATTTCTAGTTTAATTCCACTGTGGTCTGAGAACTATGTATAATTTAACTAGACAAGTAATTCCTTATGAGCAGTTTTATTTTTATGAGCAACATTTGAATAATAGTGGGTTTTAGAATATTTTGAAAATCGGTATTTGCTTTTAAGAGAGTTTTCTTTTTATCCCATTTTTTGGTGAGGAAAACATTCTCCTTAATTTTGACCATCCCATAATAGGTAGAACCAAATGGAGTTTTAGGATAAGATTTCTGAAATATCGTAAAGAATTTGTGAAGTTCACATTATTGAGATTTTTATTAAGCACACCTCTGCTCTTCTAGAAAAAGGAATGAAAAAAGAGGAAAGAACCAGAATTCAGTGATATAAACATATCAGTCAGGACATGTAGCATTCGGGTGGACATGGAGGACTTGAGAGAGGTTATTGTTATATCTTGCAAGCTGTCAATTCTGATGAAATGCAGTGTTTGTTTTGTTTCAGGTGGATATGAGCCCCCACTGACCAACGTCTTCACGATGCAGTGGTTTCTGACTCTCTTTGCCACGTGCCTCCCTAACAACACTGTTTTAAAGATTTGGGATTCCATCTTTTTTGAAGGTTCGGAAATCATCCTAAGGGTGTCGCTGGCTATCTGGGCAAAATTGGGAGAGTAAGTGATTTTCCCCTTTTTCTGTTCTGTGGTGTTGGGGGCCTTGAGCAATGTTTGTGCTCTCACATGTAAAGCATCGATGTTTAAGTGGGGAAAAAGAGAAAGTTGTGAAATTTGTGCAATTGCTTTAGCCTTCTGGGATCTCAGCTGGCACATTCTTGATGGGATCTCTTTTAGAGAAGGGGGTGGGCTTTTTTTCAGGCCTGTGGTTCTCCTCTTCCTCAGTGCTTGTCCTGTGTGGTTTATACTCGGTCAGCTTCTCTCTGGACACTTGTTGGGAAGAGGGAGACTTAGGTGCAAGAGGAACCATGAAATCTGGAAAGGAGTAGGTGGATTCGTTGGTTCATACCACAGTTTGAGGGACATCTGGCCAAGATGGAGGCATAGGTAGATACACTGTGCCTCCTCACACAACCAAAATAAGGACAACAAGAATTTAGAAACAAAAATACAACCCATACTGACAGAAAATTGAACCGTATGGAAGTCAGACAGCCAAGGAGTTAAAGTAGAAACATTCATCCAGACCAGTGGGAGGGGCAGAGTTGGGTGGCTGGGCGGAGACGGGTTGCAGCAAAAAAAGTGGTGGATGGTGGACCCGGGTGGGCAAGATGGCAGCGGGCAGACCCAGCCAGGCGGCGGATTATGGACGGGTGCAGCGCACAAGGCAGACTGAGCGGTCTCATATTCATGTGCAGATAAACCAGGTGAAACTGGGAAGCAAGACAGACTGTGCAACCCAGGGTTCCGGTGTGGGGAAATAAAGCCTCAAAACACCAACTGAAAACACCTGTGGGGGTTGAGGGGCTGGGAGAGACTCCCAGCCTCATAGGAGAGTTTGTTGGAGAGACCCCCAGGGTCCTAGAACACACAACCCACCCACCTGGGAATCAGCACCAGTTTGCTTGGGGGCCCTGTGGGGCCCAGGTTACTTGGGGGAAGTGGGGGAAGTGATTGAAATCTGACAGAGAGCAGAGCAAGCGCCATTGTTCCCTCTCAGACCCTGCCCCCACATACTGTGTCACAATGTAGCCACTGGGATTGCCCCGCCCTGGTGAACAACTAAGGCTCCACCCCTCACTATGTAACAGCTGTGTCAAGACAAAAAAAAAAATGGCCCAAACAAAAGACCAAAGCTCCAGAAAGTGATGAACAGGTGGCCAACCTATCAGATGCACAGTTCAAAGCACTGGTGATCAGGATGCTCACATAATTGGTTGAATTTGGTCGCAAATTAGATGAAAAAATGAAGGCTATGTTAAGTGAAATAAAGAAAAATGTACAGGGAACTAATAGTGATGGAAAGAAAACTGGGACTCAAATCAAGGGAGTGGACAGAAAGGAAGAAAGAAACAATCAAACAAAAGGATGAAGAAACAAGAATTCAGAAAAATGAGGAGAGGCTTAGGAACCTCTGGACATCTTTAAATGTTCCAACATCTGAATTGTAGGGGTACCAGAAGGGGAAGAGGAAGAGCAACAAGTGGAAAGCTTATTTGAACAAATAATAAAGGATTCCCCAATCTGGCAAAGGAAATAGACTTCCAGGAAATCTAGGAAGCTCAGAGAGTCCCAAAGAAGGTGGACCCAAGAAGGAACACACCAGGACACATCATAATTACATTACCCAAGATTAAAATGAAGCAGAGGATCCTAGAAGCAGCAATAGATAAGAACACAGTTACCTACAAAGGAGTTTCCATCAGACTGTCAGCTGATTTCTCAAAAGAGACCTTACAGGCAAAAAAGGGCTGGAAAGAAGTATTCTAAGTCATGAAATGCAAGGGCCTACATCCAAGATTGCTCTATCCAGTAAAACCTTCTTTTAGAATGGAAGGGCAGATAAGGTCAAGTTCAAGGAGTTCATCATTACCAAGCCCTTATTTTATGAAATGTTAAAGGGACTTATCTAAGAAAAAGAAGATAAAAAACACGAACAGTAAAATGACAGCAATTATTAACAGCCACACCTAAAACAAAAACAAACTAAGCCAACAACTAGAACAGGTACAGAACCACAGAAATGGGGATCACGTGGAGGGTTAGCCAAAGGGGAGTGGGAGGAGGAGAGAGGGGGAAAAGATACAGAGAATAAGTAGCATAGATGGTAGATAGAAAATAGACAGGGGGAGGGCAAGAGTAGTGTGGGAAATGTAGAAGCTAAAGAATTAATGACACATGAACATGAACTAAAGCAGGGGGAAATATGGATGGGAGGGGGTGTCCAGGGTGGAGGGGAGGGAAGGGGGGAAAATGGGACAACTGTAATAGCATAATCAATAAAATATATTAAAAATACCACAATTTGGATTACATTTGAGTCTATTATTTACTTTGTTTGGCCTTTCAGGGCCATGATAAAGTTAAAGGAGATACTGTATGTCAGGTGTCCAGCATGGTGCCTGGTACATAGTCAGCAGAACATATGGAACTTCTTTCTTTTCTTGAAGAAATAATACTGTGTGGGAATCCATGACTATTAAGTAGATTTTACTTACATTCTTTCCTAGTAGCAGGGCTGAAAAAGACAAGGGTATTTTCATCCACCTTGAATATATTATGACTGTTATATTAAAATTCTACCTTTTGGGTAACAGAAGAAATGTTAGAATGAAATTGTTATAGTTGACTTAAGATGCAGAGGTGTTTGATGTTTCTTCCTTAGAGCTGTGAATGACTCGAGTGGGTACCCATTGTAGACAACGTGTCAGAAAACTAAGTCACTGCCAGTATTTTATTTCAAAAACCTGTTAACTAACCTTCTTTTTTATAAGTTCTTTCCTGGGAGACTTGCAACATTTTTTATTTTTATTTTTTTGTAAGAAAGATCCACCAACTATCAGTTCAGGGACTTTAAAAAATCATGAGTATGAGTATTTTTAAACATCACATAGCTCCTGTGCCTTTGTTTTATTGCGCATTACTTTTAAATAGGCAAATAAATCCATTGGTGGGGAATTTGGTGTGCTATTTACTCATCTTTTTCATTTTCTCTAAATATCTACCTCTTTCTGCAGTCACGTATTTCCAACATACTCTATATCTTGTAAGTTCTTTGATAGTTTCTCTGGGTGTGATAGTGCAGTTACTGAATAATTAGCTCATAGGATTAAAATAGTAAAGCATTTACTATAACAGAGTAAATAGTAAAGCATTTACTATAACAGACTCAGTTATAGTCTCCCTGTGTTCTTAATTATATGGCAGGAAGAAAAAAGGTGATGCTGGTTTTATCCCCATCTATTCATTATCTGTGGGATCAGAATTATTTTAATCCTCAGTGAGGACAGTTTTTTCCCATCGCTTTTAGAGAGAGATGAAGGGGGAGAAAGGAAGGGAGAGATAAACATTGATGTGAGAGAGAAGCAGCGATTGGTTGCTTCCCATAAGTGCCCTGACCAGGGATCGCCTGCACCCTGATGGGGATGGAACCTGCAACCTAGGTATGTGCCCTGACTGGGAATTGAACCCGCAACCTTTTGGGTACGACTGATGCTCCAACCAACTGAGCCACACTGGTCAGGGCTGTAGGATCAGAGTTTATTTTGCTCATCGCAGGGATGTCACGTGGTTGAAATAACAACAGCTACACTTTCAAATTTGACATTCATTAAGTGCTTTCAGTGGACAAGCATTGCTCTAGGCACTCTACAGTAAAACTAACTCATTTGGTGCTCACTATCATCCTGTGATTTGGGTACTGTTATTATCCCCATTTTACAGATATGGGGACTGAGGTCCAGAGAAGTTGGTTGCCCAAAGTCACTCAGTTATAAGTGTAAGGGCCTGATTTTGAACCCAGATGCCTTGGCTCTAGAATCTGTGATTTTGATAATGTGAATATACTGATAATAAATGGCTAATGTTTATGCAGTTCAGGGGATATATGTGAATCAGACTGGTAGAATTTTAAATGTTTCAGCGTGTTGATTATAATTCTACACATTTTGGGCGTGGAACTTGTTAAGGCAACCAACATATATCGTCAAGTGCCCATAGTGTCATCATTACATTAGGCAGTTTACACACATTATTTTCATTTTGCCCGGAACCCCATAAAGTAGGTGGAACTTAATCCTGGATCTGTCGGATTCAGTGCCTGTGATCTTCCCCACCAAAATCATGACCAGCACAGAGGTGATCTCCAGTTATGTGTACCAGGGTAACATGGGCCTTGTGCGTGGTTATCCATGGGGCCTCTCCTTTCCCTTTGCTTCCACAACTTGGCTGTCTTCCTCTCACCACACCAAGGGTGCTTTTGGAATATGTGAGTTGTAGACCATTGGCTCACCTTCACTGGCATCTATTTGATGTGTCCTTTCTCTTCTGACCCTACCGCTTTGGCGCACTGCCTTGTTCCCTTGTGCCTGGCTTACCTTGGTGTGTCTTCTGTGTTTTACCCGTCACATCCACTTGCCATGCCACCTCCAGGCCGACCTCGCCAAAAGCACATCTGTGCCCACACACCCTGTTAAGAACCTTTCAGTGATTCTTGCTTTGAAGGGCCTCAGCTGGGAAGTGAGGCCTTGTGGTCCTCTCTCTACAGCTTTTTTCCCTCAGCTCTCAGAGGCTCCCTCTGGCCCTGCAGGCCATCCACCCCCACCCCTGCTCCATCCTTGCAGAGCCTTGGCTGGGGCCTGCTGCCCTCTCCTGCATCCATGTCTTTGGAATGCTTTTTCTTCCTTGTCAACCTGGAGAATATTTTCCTAAACTCATCTTAAGCATTATTTCTTTCCTCATTCCACCTCCCCACCCCGGTAAACTTAACCACTCTGCATTTTTGTAATAACACTGCAATAGTTTATCTCATTTATTTATTTGCATGATTGAGGCAGTGAGATTTGAACAGCACTTCAGAGCCTGAATCTCTTCCAATATCTTATTTTTGGGGGATGGCTCTATGAAAATCTGTCAGTATTTGTGTACATCATAGTATATCTCTTGTAGTTGGTGGGCAAATCGAGTCATCCCACTGTAAAAGGACATCATAGCAGATAAATACACAGTGCTCCTCATTTTGGACTACTCCTTTTTTTTCTCCCCTCAAGGATTAAAGTCCACGCTGCCTCACAAGTTGCCAGGTGACAGAGTATTTACATGTACAACCTAATGCAAGACACAGTGTGTAATCTCCAGCTAGCAGCGGTGTCCTGAGAAGAACAGGAAAAATTCTGCCTGTGAAAACATCCTGCAGACTGATGAAATATGCAGATAAAGTTCTCATATTTCTCATCTTTTATTACTAGTGTGGTTTGGTTTCAGTCTGTCAACGATACCACAGTTTGTAGATTAAGAACAACAGATTTGCTACTGGGGATAATAGTTCTTCATACCTAATTTCATAGTTATGGTTTCTCATCAGTGGTGGGTATTCTGATGTGTAAAATGAGTCACATGGAAGCAATAAAGTTGCCACTGGTAGGGCTGTGAGGCTGGGCAGCTGTGTCGGAATGATGGGAACTTACCCTGTAATAAATACCTCTGAATTGCCTTTGATATTTTATATCTTTTCTCTGTAAATAGGTTCTGTGAGTGTGTTCCAGGACTTTGATTTTGTTGATTGCTAATGTGATTGATGTGATGGTAAGAGGCAACACAGGATGAGGTCTTTCTGGAAAAAGTCCAGCCATTGTTAATATAACGAGAATAGTGTATGGGATGTGGATATAACCTGGCAGCCAAGGAGAGTAGACTGGAATGCGCATGTGTGAACAATGATGACTTCACTGTACCAGTCAGTGGGGGAGGTAGAGGCTGTTAAGTGAGTGCGTGTACTGTGTGGCTGTAGCATTCAAAATGATTGAGTGAGTAGAGCAGTGAATCTACATCAAATTTTGCATTAAGCTTGAATGTTCCTCTGTGGGAATTATTTTGATGATTCAGAAGACTGCAGCTATGGGTAACTGGTGATCGTCAGCTTCATCATAAAAATGCTCCCCATGCATCATGTCTTGTGCAGAGTTTTTTGGTGACACCTCAAGTCACCCAAGTGACTCAGTCCTCCTACAGCCCAGACTTGGTGCCCTGTGACTTCTGGCTTTTCCCAAAACTAAAATCACCTTTGAAAGGGAAGAGATTTCAGGCTGTTAATGACATTCAGACAAATATGATGGGGGTAGCTGATGGTGAAGGGGAGAAATGTGTGTGGTCCCAAGGTGCCTACTTCGAAGGGGACTGAGGCATCATTGTCCTATGTACAGTGTTTCTTGTATCTTGTATTTTCTTTAATAAATGTCTTTTTCATATTGCATGGCTGGATACCTTCTGGACAGACCTTGTATCCTGGTGTAGCTGGAGCACGTAGCTGATAGACAGCATGGGTGTTCTAAACAATTCCTTGTTTTGTCCTTTTCGCTACTAGGCAGATTGAATGTTGTGAAACAGCAGATGAGTTCTACAGCACCATGGGGCGCCTTACCCAGGAGATGCTAGAGAATGATCTTCTGGAGAGCCATGAACTCATGCAGGTGAGTGGGCAGCGTGGCCCCGGCTTGGCCTGGGGAACCCCAGGTACTGCGGGCACAAGTGGTGACAGAGCAGCCGTCTTGGGAAATGTACATGGCCAACCCTCAGATTTAGTTTTTCAATGGACCAGGAGTCTATATGTAATTTGATAAGAATCTTAACTATGTCACAAGAGGAAGAAATGAATAATAAATACTTGCTGTAGCTTTCAGTCAAACTTGTTTAGAAATCATGAACTGAAATACAAAAGTAGATTTAAAAAACTGGAAAAAAACACCCTAAAACATTAGGTGCTTATTCTCAATCTGATTCTTAGTATTCTTGAGGGGAGTCTTATGGGGGTGAAGTAATTATTGGGGGGGGAGAAATTATTGTGAATAAAAAGGAGATTATTATGATCAGCATTTGAGTTTGTTTCATCCACATTTTCAACTCATGTTATATATGAATCATAAATTTCAATCTGAGAGATTTGAAGGGTTTTGTTATTTTCTGGCATGATATTCTATGTCAGTATAATATTTCCCATGCCATTCAAATCAACAATGAGAACAGAGAAGAGCAGATTTGTTAGCACCCTCTCCTCCACTAGGATTTATAACATGATTTTACCTTTACTCCAGTGCTTCTGGCCGCTCTTCTTCCTGGTTCTTCCTCTTGCCCCCTGACCTTTCCAAGGGTAGGTCTTTCCAAGGTTGTCCCTGGGCCTCAGTTTCTTTGTTCTCTGTGATGTCTCTCTCCTTTTTCTTGCTTTCAACGTTGACTTTTTATGTTGGGCTCCATGCCTGAAGTCATTTTGGGTGCTGGGGCCCAGGTTAGAGAACAGACACGCAAGCCCCGATTTAGGACTTCACCAGTGTGGAGCTTCCATCCCTTTGTTCACATCCCGGCGCCTCCGCTCCTCCTTTGAATTCCTGATGTTGAGCATGCAGATGCCTGATTTATTGAGAATGTTGACCGCTTGATAAAACCTTTCTGAACATTCATTATTTTTCTGTTCAGCGTTTCTTTGCATTCTCTCTCCTCTTTTCTCCCTGCCTGCCTGTCTCAGATGAGGAAGTGTTCTGACCCTGACGCCTTGGCTTGATTTCCACTCTTCTCATGTTGTCGTTCCTTACCACGCACTCTCTCTCAGAGGGAAGCACCTTTTATTGAGCACTGCTCTGCATGCCAGGTCCATGCTACATCCTACAGATTCATGTGCTTAAAGCAGGACTCTGAGATAACATCCCTTCCCCCTTACTCATAAAACTTAAGTGGCTACTCACTGCCTACCTAACAAAGCATGGGTTTCTTAGTTTATCATCCAGGGCTTTTGACTACCTGTCACTAACCTGCCTTTTCAGCTAGAGTTCGTATTCCTCCCTTTTGTAGGTTTGACCTATTCTATCTAGTCAAGTCAACTGTCTCCTATGCTCCCAGAGATTCTTGGGAATATGCTTCCTCTATACCTTTTCTCTCTCGGCTCAGTCTTTCTCTTCTACCTTCACATGTTTAAGACCTGCCTCCTTGTAGAAGTTCCTGTTCAGATGCCATCTACTTTATTAAACATTCTCTGATAGCCTCAACTAAAATCACCCCCCATTTCTATGAGTCACAGTGACATTTTCTTTGTACCTCCCTTGGGAACATTCATCTCTGCCTTGATTCGAGGATAGGATTAAGGATACCTTGTATCCTATTTCCTCAGTGGTAGTTTAAGTTCCTCCAGGACAGGGACTGTGCTTTGTTAAGAATATGTAGCACTTTGCCTTTTCCTAGAGGTGCTCAATTCATTTATTAATTTGGTAAGCCAACATCTGTTGAAAGTCTGTGATTAATTTTCTACCTTCTCTTTTTCAATAAAGGTTTGCTGAGTCAAACAGCAGTCATAGATGATGTCCCCCCTTCCAGATTCCCTCTGCTCCAGTACAATCAGTATTTGGCTTCCAGAGTAATAGCCTACACTTGCTGCTTTGGCCATTTCATTGTTATTCACAAAATGTTCATTGCTTTCTTGTTATTAACTAGAGTAAATAAAATGCTTCAGCCTTGTTTCTGTATTAACTTCTGCAAATATTTATTGAACACCTCTATATGTCAAAAGTCTTCCTTGAGGAAATTAATGTCTGATTTTACCTTTGAAGACTAACAGCAGTTGGTCAGGTATATTTGTGTGTGCATATACATGCACGTACACACATGCATGTGTGTGTGCATATGTGTTGGAGGCAGTGGCGCAGAGCAGAGAGGCAGTTCCTGGTTAGAGAGGGGGCAGGGTGAGCAAAGGCACAGCGGTGGAGACCTTTACAGTGTGTGAAGGGAACTACAAGGAGCTTGGTATGCAGAGATGGGTGTGGAAGACCGCAGCCCATGGTAAGGAGCTTGGCCTTGGTCTTTTAGGTCAGTGCTGTGAAATGTGTTTGCTGGAGCTCTAGGGCTTCTGTGGAGCCTTTGGAAAGAGAAAAAGAAGAGCTGTGCACCTGGAAGGTGTTAAGGAGAGGAGAGAAATGGTCTGAGTTGTTTCTCACATCGACTATGCGGCAGCTCTGTGAAAAGTGGACGTGGCGGGGTCAGGTGTGGTAGCAGGAGGCCTTCGAGGAGCAGTGAAGGGAAGAAAGAAAACTGAACTAGAGACAGTGCTTAGAAGGTGACATTGATAGGACTTGGCCACAGAAAGTGGATATGGTGTGAGGGAGAAAGAAACGGAAGAGATGAGGGCAACCTGCATGTTTCTGGCTTAAGAAGAAGAGGGTAGGTTTATTGGGAGTGCAAGATGAGGTAGCTTTCAGGCAGGCTGCACTGGAGATGCATTTTGGCTGCCCTGTTTACCCCCTACTCACAGGTATTCCCCACTTCTTCACAACTGGAACCTATTGCATGGCTCACAGCTTTATACCCTGCCCCCCCACCCCCCACCCCCCGCAGCCCCTCATAGTCCATGCCCGCTCCTGTGACAGGGCCTGGGCTTCTGAGAATCCTATCTGCCCCCACCCCTGGCTCCTACTCAGACTCTTCTCCCCAACCCCTGCACAGCTTCTATTACCTCAGCTCTCGTTAATAATGACGGCTCTTTTGAACACCTTCGGTATTTAAGATTTCCAACAGTTGGTTTATAGCTGTAGCAGATTATTCGGTATTGTTCGGTGCATTTCGAATGTGTTAATTTTATCCCTCTAATGAAGTAGCAAGTTCCTTAATGACAGGGGCTTCATATGACTCTGTATCTTCATAACACCTGACATAGTTCTAAGAATACACCTGGTTGCTCAGTGGATGCACAGAACCATAAAACATTTGAACCTGAGGCAGGAGTTTTCAAACTTGCCAGAGTATAACAAACATCTCAGGAGTGCATTCAGATTCAGGTGTTTGCTCCAGGGGTGGTTCTGATGCATGCAACTTGTAAAAAATAGCTAGAGAGACTCTGACTTAAAGGAAGCTTAAAGATTAATCCAATTCTGCCACTTCACAGAGGGGACACTAAGACTCAAAGAGCAAGCATCTTGCCGGTTTCCTAGGCTGTCTAGTGGTCGACCCGGGACTGGATCCCAAGACCCCAGCTCCTGGCCCAGTGATAGTTCCCCACCATCCCACTTGCTGCTTCACCTTGTTAGAAACATGCCTTTCTAAGAACCGAAGTCCTCTCCAGAAGGATAAAGCAACATTTTATGTCACTTAAAGTTCACACATTGCCGGGTGAGATACACCTGCCATCTTTGACCTCCAGGAATTTAGGTATTAGGAGGAAAGAGAACTACTCTGCTTTAAGAGAATCCTAGAGGGAAGATGTAGGCCGTGGCTTGATTGATTAGATTCCCTTTTAGTAGCATTTTTTCCTGCCGAAGAAAACATTTGGGTGATGATAAACTGAGCCGAATTTTATACAACTTATGCTTTTATATTTCTTGTAGAAGCATGTCAATAATGAAAAAGAAATATAACTTCTTTTCAGTGCTGCCTAAATATAAATGTCTGTGTGAGTGTGTGTTGGTGGTCTGGATAATAAATATAAATGTCTACGTGAGTGTGTGTTGGTAGTTTGGATAGTGAATATAAGTGTCTGTGCGAGTGTGTGTTGGTAGTTTGGATAGTGAACAGGCTTCTTGGTTTTCCTTGGCATCATCGAGTATTAAGTAGAGAAATATTAAATGTCATTTCAAGCCACTGTTTTCATGTATTCACTCTTGGAAAAAAACTAACAATGGCCGTGGTCCAGTCATGGGGGACCTTCAGTCTGTCAGCAAACCCGAAGTGGCTCCAGATGAAAATGTGGACTGTGTGTAAGGTCAGTGAATGAAAGATTCTCCTTGTTGGTCCTCCCCATTTCCGTTGTAAGTGCCAGACACAAAATCTGGCATAATCTGTAATAATCTATAATAATCTTTTCCTCCCCTGTAAATTACATCGCTTTTTAAAATTAGCAATGACTATTTTTTTTAAATTGAGGTTTAAATTTACCTTTCTCTTATGACCAAGGACGATGAGCATCTTTTGATGTGCTTATTGGCTATATAAATGTCTTCTTTCGTGAAGTGTGTTCAAATCTTTTACTCTCTTTTAAAATTGGGTTGCTTGTCTTATTAGTGAGGTGTATGAGTTCTTTTAACAGTTATGTTAATATTTTAGATACGACTAATTTGTTAGATACAAATTATAAGTATTCCTCCCTCCCCCCAAAATGTAGATAGTGTTAGAGAGATTGGGAGAGTGCCAGCGACATAGTATAACATGGATTTCGGATACATGGATTTCGATACAACTTTTTTTAAAATCTTTACCCAAGGATGTGTTTATTAATTTGGGGGGTGGGAGGAGAAAGAGAGAGAAAGAGAAATATTGATGTGAGGGAGAAACATCTGCCAGGGATCAAACCTACAACCTTTAGGTGTATGTGATGCTTCTCCAACCAGCAGAGCCAGCCAGCCAGGGCTCAGTACAACTTTTGACAAATTCTCTAATGAATGCTTTGAGGACAATATAAAGAAAAGTTAATTAGGCTCTGGCCAGTGTGGCTCTGTTTGTTGGAGCATCGTCCCATAAACCAAAATGTCTCAGGTTTGATTCCGGGTCAGGATACATGCCTGGGTTGTGAGTCCCTGGTTGGGTGCAGCTGATAGATGTTTCTGTCTCACATTGACGTTTCTCTCCCTCTCTCTTCCCCTTTCTTCCTCTCCCTCCCAACCCCTCTCTCTAAACGTGTTCTTGGGTGAGGATAAAAAAAAACCCAGAAGAAAGTTAGTTAGATCTAATTATTAGAAGGTTGGCAGGTGCTTGGAAAAACGGAGGCCAAAGTTCTTGCTGATGGTTTCCTGGGGCAGCTCTCACGTGCCACAAGGTGGGTCTGCCCTTGGACTGCTGACGATTTTCCATTAGTGATGGGGTGGAAATGAGAAGAATGTGGATGCTTGTTCAATGGAAGATAATGTTTGACTAATTAGTGCTTTCGGAAATTAAAACCGTCTGTCCTGCAAAACAGCGTGTGCTGGAAGTGTTTCAGCAGTGCCTTTATGACCATCTGTTGGAGATGCTTTGGGAATTCCTACTTGGGGCAGGGGTTGAATTAAATTATGTTTAAATTCTTTCCTAACCCCAAGATTCTATTAGTGTACCATACAAGTCTTTTGGCTCTATGATTATAAGTAAAGTTTTTTTCTTGGAATTGGTTGTCAATCCCTGACTTACAAAGTTGAAAACCTAGAGCTACTCAGGTACCCCAAGCAGTGTGGTGTTGGGCCAGGGAAACGCATGTTCATGTGATAAACATGCCTTCAGACACATGAGACCTTCAAGGATGTGAGTGAATACATGCAAGGAAGCACTGTAAACATTTTCCAGGCATGCTGATTTCACCTTTGAAGGACTCACTAAAAGGAGAAGATAGAGAAAGGAATGCGAAAGTAGAAAATGAAAGCTTAATGGGGCCAATTTTCATCTGGTAGGATGTCTTTAGCTGAGTGGTCTTTGAAGGAGCTTGCTAAGAACCCAGGCCATCTCCCCCAAGGGGGTATGGATGAAGCAGGGGCAGAGGGTATTTTTGATTCCCCCCTCCCTCCCTCCCTTTCTTTCTTTCTTACCATTTATTTCTACATTTTTATTTGGAAATATTTATATCAGTGCAGTGAAAGTACATTTTCAAAGACACTAGATGTCATTACTTTGGATATTATTAGTTTATTATAAAAGAGACATGGAAATTATTTACATGATGAAAGACTTCACCACTTCAGTGGAATGGGTTGTGTCCCATGATGCCATTTCAATAGTGATTTATTTTAGTCTACATACTTTCCAAGAATGTCATCATGTCTAGGTAAGACACAACCCTTGTCTAGAACTACTTTGGTTCCTCCACATTCTGGAAGAACTTTCTCTCCAATTTCCACTCTCACTGGCTGCATGTCTCCACCCCTTCCTTTGGAGCCCCATCTGACAGCTACTACAGTTGCTTGCAATACTTTTCCTTGAGATTCTTCTGGAAACATAATGCCTCCTTTGGTTACAGTTTCTGAAGCACACCTTTCAACCAATACATGGTCAAAGAGGGGCAGAAACTTTCCAAGTGCCCGCCTGTCATGACTCCAGCCGCTGAAGTTTGTACTCTGCTCTTGGGCTGCAGCCGTAAGGAGAGACCAGCAGTTGGTCCCCCAGGACACATGAACTTGGAAAAAGCTCCATTTCTTTCTCATAAACGCCCTTCATGAGGCTGTACAGGGGAATTTTCTGATAAGTTTTTATAAAACTGGCAAAAATAAAACAGTGAATTTTTAGCTAGTTACCCCACTAATTATCTTCTGTGAGATATCTTCATTTGGAAGGAATTTCGAAATTTCTAGCATTAATGATTTCATCTTTTAAGCTTGAATCCAAATGGCACAGGCTTCTTAAACGTCTGAACCAAGTTTCCAAAATGTTAAGGAAAAAGGTCCTGTGAGGGAAGGGCAGGCCAACTCCTGATCCAGTGGTGGGACCACATTGGGTGCGTGGTGGTCAGAGGCTGATGCTGCTGGGCCAAGGTCCGGGTGGAGGAGCCGTGCCCTGAACCTCCAGGTGGGGTGCTGAGGAGACAATTTCCCATCTGTCCATTTTCCTCCAAAGGGTGTGTGCAGCTGAGGCAGGTCATAGGAGCAAGGAGAACAGAATTCCGTATCGACAATAAGGCAGCTTCTTGGGTGATGATGAACTGTTGGCATCCTCTGTGAGATGAAGAATGTGAGACTTCGCTCTGACCATGTTATTAATGAACTTCAATGAAGTATTTCAGGCATACTGAAATGCATTAAAGATTAACAAACTCACCACCCAACTTAAGAAAGAAAACATTAACAAACGTTTGAATATCCTCTTACGCTTCTCTATGATCTTCCCTCCCCTCCCCTCCCACTTCTTCCTTCCCATCTCCTTTTCAAAGAAATCACAACCTCAACTTTCATACCCTTCATTTTTCGGGTGAGGAAAGTAAGATCCAGAGAAGTTGGGAACCAGCCAATCTCAGACTAGTGGGAACCACAAAAGGCCTTCTGCTTCTTTCCATGGGGGAACACGTCACTGTTAGTAAATGTGTATTGCTTCTCAGTCTTTTGGGTATAATTAGGTGTGTAGTGTATAAAATAGCTTAGGGCTGACTTTTGGGGTCTCTATAAGTTGTGTTAGCTTCACATAGTGAGCAATGGAAAATTGAAGGGAAGGAGTTTTAGCCAACACTTACTTGTTCAGCATCTTGGGGTGGTACAGTAAGGTTTATAAGTGGATACTTTTTTTGTTTTGTTTTGTTTTGTTTTCTAGGATAAGTGGATACTTTATATCTGTTTGGGGATAGTCAGATGTGGAGGCTGTTTGGAATCAAAACTGTGGTGGGTGGGCACAGAGGTGGCTCTGGTCTGGAAAGTGAATCGGCAGCACGGTCAAGCCCCTCTCAGAAGCTTCCTCTCTGCACCCGTGCAAACATCAGATGTCTCCTCTAAGTCTTCAGGAAAACTCTCCTGCTGGGATGAAAACATACCACTTTAAAATATCCCCCTAGAAAATGTCAGGGCATTTAAAAGCTTCCTGGGAGAAATGGAAGTTAGTGTGATAAACATATGTTTTCTGATGAATAAGAACCTTAAGGATTGATGTCCCATTTGTTTATTCTTTCCTTTATGTCCCTTGCTCCAGGGGACAGATAAGTGAAAATACTGCCATGTGGAATATCTGAGGTTTTCCTGTTTATTTTTTTTCCTCTAGGACTTTTATGGTGTCATGACTTATATTTAAATCTCTTATCCACCTTGAGTTTATTTGTGCGCGTGGTGTAAGTTGGTGGTCGAGTTTCATTGTTTTGCATTTAGCTGTCCTGGTCTCCCGACACCGTGGGGTAGGGGAGAGTGGTGGTGGGAAAATGGAGACAACTGTTCTTCAACAACAATTAAAAGAAAAGGAAATACTTTAATAGTTTTAAAGCAGATGCTATTAGAGGGAGAAGGTGCGGACTGGTTGAAAGAAGGTGGGGGGATTAGCCAAAGAACATACATGCATGACCCACAGACATGGACACTGGTGTGGGGACTGCCTGAGAGTGGGGGAGGGGGCCTGGAGGAAAGAGGGCTAAGGGGGAAAAATTGGGACGATCGTGATAGTATAAACAATACAATATTTAAAAAATAAAAAAAAGAAAAGGGGCAAATCTAAAAAAAGTATAAGGATTGAAGAAAAATATAATTAAAATTTTGGAGCAATTTTGATAAGAGAGCAAATAAGATTACTTTCTTTCCGCTGATAGAATGACATACAATTGTGAAATTCTGGAGGAAGCACAGGTGTTTTTCTCATTTTTACTTAAAGATGTTTAACAGCCTGTGCTTTATACTGTCACTTTAAAAAAAATAATGGCTAACAATTTTCACCTAGCACCAACTCACAGATATTTGAAAAAATGGTGTTTTTGGAGAAAATGTGCAGTTGATCAACACATCAACTACGAGATTTAATTTTATCCAGCAGGCTGACCTTAAATTTCTATAAAAGTAATCAAACAAAACTTTGAAAGACAAGCACTATATATGAAGAACATCGATGGGTTCTTTATTAAAGAAGGGCTCTGTGGGTTTCTGAAGTCGCCCATTCCATAAATGGGCAGCAGGAAGTCACACCGCCCCATTTGCCTACCCATGCTCACCAGCCAAAATGCCCACTCGCACCTGGGTTGATTCGAGAACTCATTATTGTATTTATCAGTATTCTTTCATCTTTCTCTAAAAACGGATATGGAAGTACAATCTTCCCACTCTCTGTGTTGGAGGCAGTATTTTTCCTTTCACACTGAAATCATAATGTCTTTCTAGGATTGATAAGAGTTATTGAGGCCTCCATTTCAGGCTTGGCATTTTTGTTTTTCTTTTTCAGACTGTTTATTCTATGGCTCCATTCCCTTTCCCACAGTTGGCAGAGTTGAGGGAAAAATACACCTATAACATTACACCATTCCCAGCTACAGTTAAACCCACCTCCATTTCTGGGTAAGGTCTCTTTTTTTTCCCCTTCTTGTTTTCATGATAGAAAACTTAATCCCTTAATTTGTTATTGTAACTTAATAGTTGTTATGCACTAGAAATATATTCAAAGTAGTTTGGTACTTAAATCCTGAATGTTTTTAAGGTGTTGATTTAAACTTAAGAGGGTGATTTTTAAAAGTGTACTTCCTAGGGAAGATTAGAATGTAAATTGAAGTACATCTAGCAACCCCACAACTTATTTAAAAATATCAAATATTTAAAATCTCAATAATTAAAGTAGTGTAGAACTGGTGCATGAAGAGACAGTAGAACTAATTTAAAATACTGTAAAGACCAGAAATTGATAAATATATACATACGGGAATTTAGAATATGAAAACTTGGCATATCAAATCAATAGTGAAAAGATATGTTATTTAATAAATGGTGTTAATGAGACCTAATCTGGAAAGAAATAAAGTTAGAGTCTTCCTTCACATCATATATCAGGATACATTTTATATAGATGAGAGAACTAAATGGAAAAAAATGAATAGAAAAGTTTCAAGATGGTGAAGGAGTAAGTGAAAGCTACATGAACCTCCTCCCAAGACCAATCTGGAATTAGAACTAAATTGTAGAGAAATCATCCTGAATAATGAACTGAACACTAGCTGGAGAGAAGCCTCATAGTCAAGGACAGACAGAAGAAACCACTTCACCACAGCAAGGCTGGTAGGGAGTGTGAAGGGGGCACAAGAGGGCTGGCTGGGCTCCGACAGGTGGTAGCTAAAGTTCCAGATGGATATTTCAACAGCCCGGGGGTTCCCCTTGAGAAATATGGGGTCTACATCCCAAACTGGGCCCCCCCTAGCTTACAGCACCAGAGCCAAAAAGGAACCCAGATAACATCCAGCAGTGAAAAGCAGTGAGATTTCTCTCTACCAGTGAGAAATGGCTGGAGACTCAGACAGCCTCTTAAAAGTCTTAACACACAAAATTTTGTTAGTAGCTGCTTACTCTGGGCTCTGGCAGAGCGAGGACCTAGGGGAGTAGGGACACCTGAGGCGAGTCTGGGCTTGGTGGCTCTGGGGAGAGAACTGAAGGAATAGCCACCAAGATCCCTGTGTTGACTCATGCCCCACACTGCAGAAGCCATCTTTGTCAGGCAGAGCACTCCCCTCCAAGTGGCATCAGCCTGAAGGGAAGCCATAGCCCTGCCTGCAGGAATTATTCTGGCCCAACATGTGGTGCTTAAGCTGATTACAGCTTAGTTTAACAACTAAGTTGGAAAATACAACGAAGCAGCCAAATAGGGAAGGCATAGAAACAGACACCAAATGAAAGAACAAGAGAATTTTCTAGAAGAACGAAATGAAATGAAGGCAAGCAATTTATCATATAGAGAGTTTATAGTAATGATTATGAGGGTGCCACTCAATGGCATGGAAAAAGACATAGAAACCATGAAAAAGGACCAGTCAGAAATAAAGAATGCAATACCTGAAATAAATAATGCACTGGAAGGAATGAACAGTAGGTTAGGGGAAGCAGAGGATCAAATCAGTGATTTGGAAGGCAAGGTAGAAAAAACAACCAGGCAGAACAGCAAAAACAAAAAAAAATTTAAAAAGTGAGAATAGCTTAAATATTTTGGACAACATGAAACAGAGATGTCCACTTTCACCACTCTTATTCAACATAGTGCTGGAAGTTCTAGCCACAGCAATGAGACAAGAAGAAGAAATAAAAGCATCCAAATTGGGGAGGAAGAAGTAAAACTGTCTGTATTTGCAGATGACATGATACTGTACACAGAGAACCCCAAAGATTCCACTAAGAACCTACTAGAACTGATAAATGAATTCAGCAAAGTAGCAGGATACAAAATAAATAACCAGAAATCAGTTGCATTTTTACATGCCAATAACAAACTAAGAGAAAGGGAAATTAAGAAAACAATCCCATTCATAATTGTTTCAAAAAGAATAAAATACCTAGGAATAAACCTCACCAAGGATGTAAAAGACCTGTGTAATGAAAAATTATAAGACACTGAAGAAAGAAACTGAAGAGGATACAAATAAGTGGAAGCACATACTGTGTTCATGGGTAGGAAGAATTAACATCATTAAAATGTCCATACTACCCAAAGCAATCTATACATTCAACACAATTCTTATAATATTCCAGTGATGTATTTCAAAGAACTAGATCCAATATTTCAAAAATTTATAGGGAACCACAAAAGGCCCTGCATAGCAACAGCAATCCTGAGAAAGAAGAACAAAGTTGGAGGAATCATACTGCCTAATATCAAATGATACTATAAGGCCATAGTAATCAAAACAGCCTGGTACTGGCATAAAAATGGACACAAATTAATGGATCAGAACAAAGAGCCGAGAAAGAAACCCACACCTTTATAGTCAATATTTGATGGAGGAAGCAAGTACATACAATGGGCAAAGATAGTTTATTCAGTAAATGGTGTTGGGAAAAGTGGACAGATATGTGTAGAAAAATGAAGCCAGACCACGTTCTTATACCACACACAAGAATAAATTCAGAATGGATCAAATACTTAAATATTAGACCCCAAACCATAAAAATCCTAGATGAAAAAGTAGGCAGCAAAATCTTGGACATTGCTCATAGCAATTTCCTATTGATATATCTCTAGGCAAGGGAAACAAAAGAAAAAATAAACAGGACTATATCAAACTAAAAAGGTTTTGCACAGCCAAGGAAATCATCCACAAAATAAAAAGACAGCCCACAGAGTGGGAGAACTTATTCACCGATACATCTGATAAGTGGTTAATATCCAAAATTTATAAAATACTAACAAAACTCAAAACCAAGAAAAAAACCTGATTAAATGGGCAAAGGACCTGAACAGACACTTCTCCAAAGAGCACATACAGAGGGCTAATAGACATGAAGAGATGCTCAACATCACTAATCATTAGAGAAATGCAAATTGAAACCACAGTCAGATAGCATCTCACACTTGTCAGAATGGCCATTATCAATAAATTAGCAAACAAGTGCTGGTGAGGATGTGGAGAAAGGGGAACCCTTTTGTTCTGTTGGTGGGAATGCAGACTGGTGCAGCCACTGTGGAAAGCAGTATAGAGATATCTCAGAAAATTAAAACTGGAATAAATGGTGTTTTCACCCAGTGATTCCACTTCTGGGAGTATGTCTGAAGGAACCCAAACACTAATTGGAAAGAACATCAGCACCCCCATGTTCATTGCAGTGTTATTTACTATCTCCAAGATATGGGAGCAGCCCAAGTGTCCATCAATAGAGGAGTGGATAAAACAACTGTGGGACATTTACACGATGGAATGCTGCTTGGCCATGTAAAACAAGAGAATTTTACCCTTTGCGATAGTGTGGATGGACCTGGAGAATGTTATGCTAAGTGAAATAAGCCAGCCAGAGAAAGACAAATACCATATTATTTCATTCATATGTGGAATGTAATGAATAAACTGAACTAACAAGCAAAACAGAGACAAACTCATAGATGGAGAGCAGATGACAGCTTGTGGGGGGAATTTAGGGAGTGGAGGGATTGAGCAAAAAGGAAAAAGGACTCATGGACGTGGACAACAGTGTAGTGATTGCCGGAGGGAGGGGTATATAAGAGGACGAAATGGTAATGGGAAAAATACAATAAAGATTAAATAAAATGAAATAAAATTAGAAGAAAACATGGAAGAATGTCTTTAGTTCTTCAGAACTGGGAAGGTCTTAATAATGGACTCAAATTTTTTAAAAAAAGGAAGAAAATTAAGTACTTTAAAAAGAATTTTCTGTGTGACTGAAAACAAAACAGAACAAAGGAGAACCTCCACAGCAGACACTAAAATGTTTGCAACGATTTCTCAGATAACTTTCCACCTAACTGAAAAATGATGGGACCAGGTAGTTTACATAAAAAGCAGCACCACTTGTACTGTGAGAAATGTAGCATGTAACTCAATTGCGATTCTGTTGTTTTAGCTATCAGCGTAACAAAAATTCAAAACGTTGATATGTACTCTCTTGATAAGGTGATAGGGAAACAGACATTGCTGGTGAGAGGTTAGTTACTATGGGACTTGTGGCAGGCGATTTGGCAGTATTTGCCAAAATTAGTAATGCATATATTCTTTGAGCCAGCAACTCTGCCTTTATGAATTATTCCACAGATATAGTTGTACACATGCAAAACACAGAATGTATGGGGAATTGAGTGCAGCCTTGTTTATAATGGTGTAATATCGAAATCACTCGAGTGTGCTTCGTGAGGGGGCGGTTCCATAAAATGAGCCACAAACATCCCGTACAGTACAGCTGAACAAAAACGGATGAGGAAGGTCTCCGTACACATATGGAGAGAGTTCTCAGGTGAATAAAAGCAAGGTGTAGAGGAGTGTGTACAGCATGCTAATAGTATTTATGCAAAAAAAAAGAGAAAAGTAAGACTATATAGTCATATTTCTTTCCCATGCATAAAAAAACTGAAGAATAAATAAGCTAGTGGTGTTCACATGTGGGGATTAGGTGGGACAGCTGGGCAGAAGTCGGATTGCAATGAGAGAGAGACTTTTTACATATATAAGTTATATACGTCATTTAAACCACATGACTATATTACCTATTTTTTTAATGCCACTATTTTCTTTGAATATTTATTTTTTCTTTATGTTTTCCAAGACGACATGGGAAGGGCAGAGACAGTGATGAAGAGAATGACCCAGATGACGAAGATGCTATTGCTAATGCCGTGGGGTGTCTTGGACCTTTCAGTGGGCTCCTGGCTCCTGAACTGCAGAAATACCAGAAGCAAGTTAAAGGTAAAAGGGTGGCTGTCAGCTTAGACAGTCACAGTGTGTTAGTTCACTCTAGCAGGATGCTATTCTTGTGTGCTATAAATTCCTATTATTTCCTGAACTGGTTACCCCTATTAAACATCTTTATTAAAAGAATCTTTTCTGTTACTTTATCATTTAGTAGGATCTTTCTGTGTTATGTGTTGCCTGCATAATACATTTATTTTTTATGGTGACTTTGCCCCACTCATCTGATTCAATTTTGCACGCTCAGCTCCTTAGGGTACAACCTAGAATATAATAGATGCTTGCTGTATTCTGTTTGAGTTTAACTGAATTCATTCTAGACTGGCTTCTCTAGCAGTATAGAAATACCCTCTGAACCTAAAACATTCAGTGGTGGCCTCTGCTTGAATTTGAGTGACAGGAAACTCATTATCTCATAAAACATCCTGTTAGATTTCTCCACTAAGCCCATGGTTTCCACTTGCAAAGAGATAACCTCCACCTACACTTCTATTAACAGTTTGTCTTTTCAGAACAAAACATAATGAGTCTACTTCCCCTTCGGCTGGATGGCTCTTCAGATCTTTGAGGAAAGCCATCATGTCCCCAAAAGCTTTCTCCATGGCCCAAGTTTAGAATTTCTTCAAGCATTTCTTGTAAGAAATGACTTTCAGAACTGTGACTATTCCATAAACTCACTTCTAAATGTTCTCCAGTTTGGTAGTGCCCCCTGTAAAATGCAGTGCTTCGAATCGCATGCCGGGCCTTCTCTTTTTTCTCGCACAGAATAGATTTTCCATGGTCTAGACATAGTTGGTAACCAACTCTGTTGCAGCAGTTCGAGGTTCTCTCACTGTGTTCTTTCCCATCTTGAGTGGCAGTTCTTCCTTTGGAAAATTTATGTTAGGTCTTCAGTGTGAAGAACCTTGTCCTTGCTAAAAGGGGACAGAAACAAAACAGATGTGAGACACCTTGGCCTTCTCTGTCGTCCGCTAACTTTGTACCACATTCTCAAAGTCATGGGGCTGTCTTCTCATTCGCATTCTCTAGAAGTTTTCTTCTTCATCTTTATCTTCTTTTTCCCGCTCCTTCTCTTCTTTGTCATTGTCATTATTGCTTTCTTTTTCTGCCTCCATCTTTGTTTTCTTCGTTTTCCTCCTCCTCCTCTTCTGCTTCATCGCTGTCACTATTGCTCACCTTTTTCTTCGTCTCCTTTATTTTCTTCATCTTTTTGGTAGTGCTAGTTTTAGGTGTTTTCCCTAAGCCCTAGCTTGTTTTTGAGTTTTAATCTGTTTCAGGGTTTGGGTTCATACTTTTGTGTGCATGTCCTTGGTATGTACTTTCCTCTCAAACCTTCTAAATCTTTTTAAAAGGTTTTTAAAAATGGGAACCCAACAAGAGCCCTATTGATTTCCTAATGCCATCCACCCTCTCTCTTGTTGCCCGGATTTCAGCTTTTGGTTTCTAGCCATGGGATCAATGTGAATTTTAACTCTAAAATTTTTGAACCCGCGTTTCCGAAGTCTGAGTCCGGGCACCATTTTCCCCATCCTTCTTTCTGTGCAGTTCTATGCTCCAGGACGACCTGATCACTTTCTCCTAACTGTCATCGTCAGTCTTTTTGTTGGTTTTACTGAGGTTCAGATGTGCCAGTCCCTTTTTTTTCTTTTCTTTGCACAAATGTTTTCAGCAAAAAAGGAAGTAAACTTATCAGATGTTTAGCCTTCTGAATAACGCTTTCAGCAGTTGTTAGAGTAGTTGGAATCCCTATTACTCTTTTTCTTTGAGCCGGGCCCCAGGCCAGTTTCACACACTGGGCTGGAGGAGCCTCGGCCGGGCGCCCTGGCCCGTGCAGCCTGCGAGCGCCCTTTCACACAGTTCTCGTTCCTCTCACTTACACGTAACCTCCGTTTTATTTCGGGGACAAATCTGCTAGCTGTGGGTGTCACGGGAACGGAAACCACACCGGACGTAACACACGCAGTATACGGTCAGGACATGGTATTAAATGGATAAACACATTCACTTCTAGTGGTAGAGTGTCTCGAAGTTTTGATAACTTCATAGAATGTGTTGCTGTTGTTAACTTAAAAACTCACTTTTCAAGGCTGATTAAACTCTACGAACTATCAATCCCATATAAATCCTCCTGCATTTATCTGGAAACCTGAACAATGAGTTGGCATCTGGAGTAATAATTTTCTAAGGGCATTTAAGAAAAGAATGGTGGATTTTTTTTTTCTGGAAACAATCTTATGTCTCTATATATAAGATTATGTATATAGATTATGTAGATACATAGATTATGTATATAGACAAGAAAATGGTAATTAAACAGTGAGCCCACACCGCTTATTTCAGACCCACAGTTAGGCTAATAAGAAAATGCAGAAATATTTTCAAGACCAAATTAAAACAAGCACTAGACAAATTCTCCTGTACATTTTTTTTGTGGTTTAGAATTTTCTGGAGATTATGATGCAACTTTGGGTTATAGTGAATCTGTTCCCCTTTAGTTCCGCTCTCCTCCACTGACACCGTCTGCTCATCTCCTCCCTCGAGCGCAGAACCAAATGAAGAGCAGAGTCTGAGATCTAATAACATTGCGGAGCTGAGTCCAGGAGCAATTAATTCCTGTCGAAGCGAGTACCACGCCGCCTTTAACAGTATGATGATGGAGCGCATGACCACAGACATCAGCGCGCTGAAGCGGCAGTACTCTCGGATTAAAAAGAAGCAGCAGCAGCAGGTTCATCAGGTGTACATCAGAGCAGGTAACGTGATTCTTTGAATCCATTTCAATTCCGTGTTCAGCTTGTGAAAGGAAGAACGAATGTTCCTGGGATGGCCTCGGGATTACTGCTCCCTGCAGCTCACCACCCACAAAGGCAGCTGGCACGAGGTGATAGCAGATTTAGCATCTCATTTTAAATTTTATTTTATCAGGCTTTAAAGAAGAGAAAGACCGTGGGTTCTGTTTAGGTGCCAAGGACCGGGCAACAGATGATGGTATTAACCACATCTTCACTGTGTGTGCTTGCGGAGCGGGGTTTTACAAATGATTAGAATGTTGCAAAGCCAAACAGTCCTTGGACTTGAGATGTTTGGGAGCTCTTGCCTGTGAAATTCCGGGCATTTGAAAATAGCATTTAATGATCTGCGCATCAGGAAGTTAAGCTCTCTGTTAGTCTTCCGGGAGGTAATGCAGCAGATGTTGCTGCATTACCAGAAAAAGGAGAAAGCCGTCACCGCGCCTCCCTGCGGGGCAGAGTCTCCGGACTCTGCTGAGAGGGGCGGTCGTGGTGCAGCTGCAAATGCTCTTTTCCAAGGATTGTCAAGCTTCTTTTTTCTTTTTAATTCCAAAAATCCCAGTGAACAATCTGCTTTGTTGTTTCCTATATGCTGATTTTGGAATTGATTTGCCTTGTTCTAAGTGAAATTCTAATGAAAATGATACCTGTTCAGAATTGCCCGAAATATAAACCCGACATGTTTTTAAGAGGCTTGTGAGCATGTGACTGATCTTGCACAAAAACTGACTTTACATCCCACTTCTCAGGGGTAGAGGGCAACTTCTCGAAGGTGTGCACTTTATTCTGAATCATTAAGAAAGCAACCACAAAAGAAACTGACCGCTACAGCACTTTAATGTGCAAAGCACTGGCACATACATGTCCTCATTTGGTCCTTAAAGCCAATCGGTGAGGAAGGCAAGGACAGATACCCTCACATCCTATTAAAAGGCGAGGAAGGGGTGAGTCAGGAAGGCTTAGCAATTGTCCGGGATTATGTAGCTACAGCGAGTGGCCAGGCTGGTGCTAGAATCCCCGAGTTCTGATCGTTTGTGTAGTCTCTCTTCAACTGTACTGTGTAAGTGTTTGGGTGGATGTACAGTGAATGGTCACCATTGGGTGCCAAGTCAGCCCAGCGCTTTGTTCTGTAGTCAGGAGTCAGCAACCTATGGTCTACAGGCTAAGCCCTGCTTGCTGCCTGTTTTTGTAAATCAAGTTTTATTGGAATACAGGCATGACCATTGTTTACATGTTGTTTGTGACAGATTTTATACTACAGTGGCTAAAATATTTATAATCTGGTCCTTTACAGTAAAAATATGCCAACCCCTACTCTGGATCATGGCTTATTTGGTCGTTTTTAGGGAGAGACTGTTCTAGAGCCTTGCTTCTCAAACTTTCCTGTGCATAGGAATCACTTCGGAATCTGTTAAAATGAAGTCTGTTTTGGTAGATTTAGGGTGGGGCTGAGGTTATATATTTTCAACAGGCTGTTAGGTGATGCCATCACTGCTGGGGTGGGGGGCCACACGTCCAGTTGAAAGGTGTTAGAGGAGGTGGGATGGGACAGGATTAGCAGCCCAGGTGGAGACCGAACTCAAGCCAGATGCAAAGGATCCTCCTTCTGAGACTTAAAGGAAGGTGGTAAGGAAGCTGGTTGAGATACCAGCTTCCAAGCTTGCAGAGGGCAGGAAGGTGAGGTCATTCAGACCTAACAGCTTCTTTTTTCATGGAGAAATTGGAGCAAAAGTTGCTTTCTTGGGAGTAAGTTGGGGGTTGAGTGGGAGCTTAAAGAGGATAATGAAGGTTTGGATAGGCTGTCGGAAGGACCGGCAGAGTGGAAGAAAAAGATCATTCAGCAGCATCGAGGACCTAACTAAACAGGAAGCTCTGAATTCAAAGGGCCGTCAATCCACATGGCCGTGTGATTCCCCCCCCCCCACAGTGTTTAGCTGTGCTCCCTTTTGGAAAAGAGAACGTGGATTGTGGATCCCGTTTGGGGTTTTGCCGGGCACGTGTGACAGAGGGAGAGGGGTGCCCGGAGCATGTGGTCCCTGGGGAGGCAGCGTCCAAGTGGTCAGCCGCGCAGCCATCTGGGCGGGGGTTCCAATGGGCCAACGCTAGACAAGAAGTAACTAGAGGATGGAGGGCTCAAGGAAACAAAGTTTCAAAGTTCCAAGGATCAGGAATCAAGGAACTGAAGTTCCAGCACTGGGTGGAGTTCAAATAAGAGCCTGAGAGCTGGGAGAACGAAGAGAAGAATATTAGACTTGAATGTTTTCCATGTCATGTCGATCTAGGCGATAAGGTTTAGGATGGAACAGGGGAGGCTGAGAAACTATGAGGATGGGTCCCTGAGACAGTAGTTGCCGAAGCAGATGGTGGGACACGGGGTGAAGAGGGGACAGTCGTCAGCTCTTTCACTGAGGCTTGGCGTGTGACCAGAGGTGATAGACAACAGTGGAGAAGTACAGAAGGAAGTTCAGCGGGGCGATGTCTGTGTCGGAGGAAAGGTTGCTCGCTCAGAGAGGGCGGAACCTTCTCCCTGCTCCTTCTGCTTGCTGCTGTTGTCTCTGGGGCCAGGTGTGTTGAAGCTTCACAGAGTAGGGGCCCTGTCATGGTCACAGGAGGAGTGCAACAATACTGCCAACGGTGCCCTCCAGGAGAACACAGCTTTTGAAGATTTCCAGTTTTCGACTGGCTTTCCAAGTGTGTGGAGGGCACAGCAGTTTCTCATACCTGGGACCAGACATTAGATAGCCGCAGTTTTGCTGTGTTTCCCCCAACGTCCCATCACTTCTCTCATCCTGCCGTCTCTCGCTTCATAACACACAGTGTGTTCTTTTCCTCCCTCTCAGAAACCAACTGCTGATAATCCATATGGTTGTAGTGTTTGACTTACTATTTTTAAAATACCTTCGACATTTTCTGGATAGAAGACTTCTGAGGTTGCTGCTAAGAGACAAAATCTCCCTGGAAACCTATCAGGGCTCTGATCAGTCATGAGGGATCACAGTCCAGTTCCTTCTTACATCCTCAGCCCTTGGTCTCTGCCTCTTTGAAGAGGAGAGAGTAGGTGTCCCGGGCTCTCGGTGGGAATTCAGTTTTTGTTGCCTTCAGTCACATGACTCCGCCAGTGCCTGGGGAATGTGGGGGAGAGGGTGTGGGGACAATCTCTGTGTGATTCCAGTGACGCGAGGGTGTGTTTTGCTTCTCTGGCGTGGGTTTCACACACCCTTTCAATGCTTCTTTCAGACAAGGGACCAGTGACCAGCATTCTTCCGTCTCAGGTAAACAACTCTCCAGTTATAAACCACCTTCTTTTAGGAAAGAAGATGAAAATGTCAAACAGAGCCGCCAGGAATGCTGTCATTCACATCCCTGGTCACTCAGGAGGCAAACTGTCTCCCATCCCCTACGAAGACCTTAAATCCAAGCTCAACTCTCCGTGGCGAACTCACATGCGAGTCCACAAGAAGAACATGACAAGGACCAAGAGTCAGCCAGGCTGCGGGGACACCGTGGGGCTGATAGAAGAACAGAATGAGGGCTGCAAGGCTACCAGTCTGGGGGCAGCGGAGGCGTTTTCTTCCAGTTGTGCAGCGACCCCCGGAAGAGGAGGGGGCGGCGCCGAAGGCAGCGCGGCGAGGACTGTCGAAGGGCAGTCTCCGGAGCCAGTGTTTGGAGATGCTGATGTGTCTGCGGTCCAGGTGAAATTAGGAGCCTTGGAACTGACCCCAGGGGCCGCTGCTGCTGACGCCGGGCCCAAGGGACCCCCGCCCTGCCTGCGGCACTTCCCGGAGCAGCCCGATGCCCCAGGAGAAAACAAAGCCACCAGCAAAGCTCCCCAAGGCAGCCACCCGAAAACTCCCATCTTCAACCCCTTCCCCAGCGTCAAGCCACTGCGGAAGTCAGCCACTGCCAGGAATTTGGGGTTGTACGGCCCCACGGAACGAACCCCAACCGTGCACTTCCCTCACATGAGCCGGAGCTTCAGCAGACCTGGTGGCGGAAACAGTAGCACTAAGAAACGATGATTCCCAGAAATGTTTTATCGAGATTCACCTTTTCAGGTGGTACGAGGGTTTCAGGTAAAAGGCTGCAAAAGAATTTCAGTTGTCCAGTGAAAAGGAATAGTTAGGTTCAGAGATGAGCCGCGTTCATAAAGATGGGAATTGGAAGTTTTATCCTGGGAGCTAGAGTAGGGGTGTTTTCCTGTCCACTGATGACTGATACGGTGGATGCTTGTGGCAAAATAAATATCGTGGTTTTAAAATGTGAAGTTTTTCCAATTTTTCATTGTCAACTGCTTAGAAAAGACTTATGTGTCTAGACTGTTAACCCTTTTTCCTTCTTCCTGTTTCGATGGCCTTCAGGGTCCCCAGAGCTTCTAGTCTTTTGGGCATTATTATGATCAAGCATGCACCACTACCTTGCTAGACAGAAACTGTGAAAAGGAAGTAAGTTCTTAGTTGCAAAACTTCCCGATTTTCCTCCTCGTGTTGTTGGGGGATGTTTGTATGCGTGAGTTTTCCTTCCGTCATCTCTCCTGGCCAGTCTCAAATGATTTTTTATCCTTATGCTAAAGTGCAGGAGAAAAATCTAGATAGCTTTTCCCTTACTTTCTATTTCTACATGCAAAAGGAAGAAAACCTCTTTCCCTTGAAATGTAGGTTGATCACTGACTGGAAGATCTTATGCAGAGACACAAATGGGATATGCACTCAGCAGCTGCTCTGAACAGCTTGCTCATTCCACTAAGCTTTCCCAAGGTGCATTTTCTCCTCTTAACGGCATGTGGGGCCCCAGTGGGGGCTGACGTGATGGGCTCCAGGCGCAGCTTGTCCCACCTTCTCCGCTGTGCAGCTCATTTACCTCCCAGCTCACCGCAGCAGACGCAGCCAGGCCTCTGCTCAAAAGCCGGAACACAGCCCCTGCAACTCTGTTACTTGAATTTTGTGCTTTTTGGGGACTGGAATACTTTGAACACCTTGCTACTTGAACACTGCCTTTCTATGGAGAAGGCCACACTGCTTTCTAGCCCCCTCTCACCCACTGCTCCCTGGGTCCCAGCAGGTCAGAGACAGACCTGTTATGGCCACTATGCAGAAGGGGACTGAGCCACAGAGAGGTGGAGTTGCACTTCAGATACTCAAGGTAAATACTGCCAATATTTAGCACGACTCAGCCACAGTTCCTCCAGGGTGATAGGCGGGGTCAGTGCTCTTTGTATACAGGTGCATTGGCTACGTAGGTTCTACAAAGCAAGACTGGGGAGCCGTTCACCACACTCCCTCCTGACTACAGGGACCTTTTTCCACACCCCAACAGTCCTGTGACCGTGTTTCCCAAAGCCAGCTCGACCCCTTTTACCTGAACAGATGGTTCATTTTTAAAATGCTGCATGAAGCCGTCATGTGACCAAACAGAAGGTTCATCCCTCACACCCCTTCCCTCACCGTCAGGAGAATAGACTCAGCATCTTTATCCTGTCTCTGGAAGACCGCAGTAGTGCTTGTGGACATAGTGCCCATGCAGTCAATGTTAATTTGGGCTAATTGGATGGCCAATTCTGAAACCAAAGCTATAGGTTTAGACAGGGCTTTTACTCTGAGGGGTCTACATTTTTATAATAAAAACAGAATGTGGTTGTGTGGGCTTTTGTGAATATGAATCACAAGAGGACATATGCAATAGCAAAAACTCATTTTATCCCTTTTGTGCTATTTTTACCCCCGAAGGCACTGAAGATGGGAAGCATGACTAATAAGATATTGCAGTTTTGGTCATGAATTCTGTGTCACCTGAAGTTAGCATGTAGTGTCTTTAAAAATCAGCCAGGCCCACGGCCTGCGTCTTGGGGAGGGTGGAAGTGGTGCTTATTTCTGCAAACCGCTCGGGCCCAAGGCCCGCTGCCTTTCTCCAAGTTAAGCAAATGACATGACTTTCTTTCATCTGTTAAACCTGACATATAAGAATGATTCCACCTCATATTCTTTTCTCTTCCCCCATCCCAAGTGAGTCAGAATAGTCTCATTCCCTTTGAGGGATGTCTGACTTGCACAGAGAATTGCTCTTCCTTCTCTTGAGTCAGCTCACAGCTCCCTGAGGGTCTGGGTCCAGACAGGCGGCGGTGCATCTGGCCATCGCTGTCACCACCTGTCTCCATGTTGGCAGCACATGTGTGTTCCTCGTGCTGGTCTGAGAAAGGGATGCATAAGAATGGGATGAGTATTTGTGGAGTGAACGAGTAACTGAAAACATAATCGTGTTCTGAGGTAACAGGGACCTCGTCAGGGTTGAAAACACTGACAGATTCCCTGTGAAAGCACTCTCTGTACCAGTAATGTGCATGCATTGTGCCATGTAACCACTTTCAATTATGAGTCAGTCCACTTAGAAGCCTTGCCTCCTTTAGGAAATACATCCGCAGCCGCCTCCACCACACAGCATGGACAAAGACCAGTATGAACTCGTTGTTCCCCCTGTGTATCGGACACTGTATGCAAGCACCCAAAGTACTCACCCCGTAGTGGTTTATCTTTAGGGATGTCTGCGCCCTGTCAGCACTGACGCCGGGAGCCGACTCCGCCTGACGCCTCTGCACCTCAGTCCTCTTACAGGACCTCCAGACAATCTAAACTTAACCCTAAAGTTTGTCATGTCAACCTATGGCTGCAACTGTTTGGAATAGAACATTCCTTTTTTTGTCTCCCTGATGTTCTGAAGAACTGTGTGGATTACAAAGATATGTGCATAAAGATCCTCACAGTGTTGTAGCTGTTGTGCCGTTTTTTATCTGAGTGCGTGTGTAGAACACTGTAGTGAGATCCCCCTTCCTGTCTTCTCTGCACCTTCCCCCACCTTGGTCACACGAACCAGGGAAACAGCCCAACCAGCTCCACCTCCCTTGGCGAAGCTCTGGACTGCACAGTGGCCTGCGGGCTGCCGAGAACTCGGCAGAACAGGGGTTCCTGAATGCGAGTCCACAGGGATCACTTCAGTGTGTGCACGTGTGCCTGTAAAATTAACCTTTAGATTTTCCTTTGTTTTAATAAAATAGAGCAATAAGAATGCAACTTAACTTTTTGGTCTATGGATTCCATGGTAATAGCTGTTACCAAGTATACGACAGCTGCCTTGACCCATCCATCATGTGGGGAAACATTTTAAATATATATGTGTCCCAATCAGAAGAATGATACATTTTAAGAGAATTAGGAAAACAGAGCACAAGAAATCACCCATATTCTGGTGTGGGTCTTTCCAATACGTTATTGCGTGTGTGTGCACGCGTGTGTGTACACCATTACCTATGAAAGGTCTATCAAGCGTACAAGTTTAAGCCGTCTTCCCAGTAATTGCTCTCATGCAGTGTCATTTCTTTGACTAGAATTGCATTGGGTGTTCATGCCAGATTTCAAACAACAGGTATGTGGTGCCACCCAGCTTGTTTCTGATTGTTGATAGTCCTGGAGCGAGCGAGCACCCTAACATTTACATTTTGGGGCAGAGCCCTAAGTATTTTCTTAGGGTGTGTTCATAGGGATGGAAGTGCAGGTGTAGTATGTGCCTTTTTGAGACTTACATATATTTCCAAATTGCCATCCTTGAAGATGGAACTTATTAGATAAGCAGTGAATGAGAATGCCTGTGTTTCTGTACCTCTGGAAGAGGCAGCAAGTTTCTTCCGCCCCCACCCCTGCTAGGATCTTCATTGTGGATAGAAGCAGTGATAATAGCCATTCATATCTCACTCCTGACCTTTAGGGAAACCATTAAGTAAAATGTTTGCCTAGATTTCTGGTAGGTATCTTTTTATCAAGTTAAAGAAACTACCTTTTATTCTTTGCTAGCTAAGAGTTTTGTTTTGTTTTTTTTTTTAAATCAACAAGTGTTGAACTTTATCGAATCATCTCTAGTTACATCCTTTGGGAAGGAAGGAGTACTTGGGACTTGGTATCTTGAACTCGAGAAAATAACCACGTTTCATCAAAGAATATTAAATATTTTAGAGTTGGAAGTGATAGCAATAAAACTTTTATGTGCAAATTTTCATTGCAGTGTTAAATTTACTGCCGGAATTTTGGAAACAATGTCAACATCTGAGAACAGGGCAAGTGGTTGGGCGAATCACACAGGATGGGAATACAGTGGCCCAGGTGTGATCCACTGAACTCACGGTTGTCCGTCATTCACACGAGGCAGTTCAAGTCAGTGAAATCCCGGGTCAGAGAGTCACTGGGTACCACTATGGATGGGAGGCCCCCTCCTGGATGGTGGCTGAAGAAAGAATTGTGCAGTGTGGTTCTTCCACAAAAGTAGCCTGTGCTCCAGCAAATGGGGACCAAGTGAGGACCTGCAGGCTTTCGGGGCTGGGTCGGCTCCCATGAGGTCCCAGCTGGCTGTTCCCTGAAGCTGAATCTACTTGTGTCCTGGTGCACAGCTCAGGTCAAACCCTTTGACCTCCCACAGAGTCATGCTCCATCCCCTTCTCTTCCTTCCATCCAGCACGGGCCAGCCTTTTCTGATTGTTTACCCTGCACCCCAATGGCCTCAAGAGTCTTCTTTTTAAAGTTAAAAAAAAAAAAAGAAATAGAAATTGGGCAGATTCTTAATATTGCATTTCTGTTACAAAAATTCCACTTTTCTTCAGTCAGTGCTCATCCTTGGGAAAGAGGTGGATCAGTTTCCTTAATGGGAGGCAGCTCTCTGGGCTGGAGTTACCTGACACCTCAACCCAGGTGTCTTCTCACCTCTGGAGAGCCCAGGAATCTATTAAAACAAAGCAATAACAAAACAATCCTCCCTGGAAATTTTGACACTGAACTAGATTTGGCAACCACGGGTCAACCTACTATTTTAATGGACTCTTAACTAGTCCCCTTCCCCCAACCCACCCTAGCTCCCTCTGTTGTGGCTACACATTATTGCCAGAGTGATCCTAAAATGAAAAACTGATGGGAGCATTCCTCTGATCAATACCCTTCATTTGTCCTTCATTTTCTGGAGGAGAAAAGCTAAAGTCCTCGTCTTAGCTTGATCTGGCCCATGGTTATTTTCCCAGCACCTTCCCCACTGATCACCTTCCCTCAAAGGCGCGGCCTTTGCGCTATCTCGCTTCTTCCTCCCAAGAACCCCTTGAAATACGCGGTCCCTGCATCAGAGATGAGGAAAGTGGGGTGAGTGGTATGTCTCTGACCATGGTCACCTAGTTGGTAAATAGAGTTCTGACCCATCTGAACCAGAGCTTGAGTTCTTTCCTTTGCGACAGCGTCTAAC